TTTTTTTTTGGAAATAGCGTTTGACGCGCGTTCAGTTAGGGAACGGGATGGAGTGAGGATATCTCAGAACATACAATTCAAAAAGAGCGCTTAAAATACAAGTAGGCTGCGAAGAAAATAACCGTACTTATATTTGATAAACATTTTCAATTAGAGCTGCACGCCAGCATAAACCATATCAAAGGCGTTTTATAACAGGTACGGTAGTTCTTGTTAATCCCACGTTCGCTAAGAATGAAAATACAAAACCGGAACCATAAACGGTGAGTCATAATCACCATTATCATCATGATCTGCTGAATGATTCAGAGATTGGTAACTTTCTCCCACCTACCTCAGAGATTCGTGAAGTAATGCTTTCTACAGATAGCTCCTTAATTCAAAAGATCCCAACTTACAGAAAATAGAAATGCGACACGTGTTACAGTCGCATTAGCTTGATATTAATTTGAAAATTTGCTTCGTGTGAAATTGATTGATCCTAACTGGCTTTCATTGGCTCTAACGCGCGACATATGACATATGGCATATGACGTGATGGTGTGGAATCTGCTGAAAATGCGGTCTCTCTATTACTAACAACAACAACAACAACAACACAACAACAAAACTTTATTCCTTTTTCATTAATTTACAGCCATGAATTACAGCCATGAATTACAGCCATGATTTACAGCCATGAATTACTGCCGGCTGATTGGCTGAAATGATGACCTCTGATTGACGTGTGATTTTTGAAAAACCAATCACTTGAAAGACTTCATCATTTATCATTTTTTTAGGCGATCCGTGATTATTCTCCTTATTTTCAATTTCTGTCGTCTAGATTCGTCGGGATTTAAAGACTGCACCCTCGTCATAATAGAAATTGCAAGTTGCCACTTAATTTTTAATGGAAATATATAAAGCTGTAAGACTGTGAATAAAACTGTAATTACAGACCACGCAATGGCTCTTTATTTTTCATATAAACAAAAAACCCAGTTCCATTAATTGATCAATTTCAAGTTTGGCCTCCCATATTTTCATGAATTTGCAACGGATTCTTATAAAGTTCGCATATTTACTTAATTCGTCATAATCGAGCGCTGAAGCTTACTTTTTGTTTGAATGAAAAGTCGGAAAAGGGTGACATTTGTAAAAAGCTCCATCAACACCACATTCCCATATGTAAACAATTACTGAGCAAGGACGTTTATGTCTTACCAGAGTAACACTATTGTTTGAATATTTTTACTGTTGATGTGGTAAAACGCAATTTTGACAATATAATAATGCGTTTTAATAAAATGTTTATAGCATAAGCATTACACATTGTAATGTAATTTTGGAAATTTGAACTTAATTATAGCACCAATCCATTGACTCTAGAGTTTACAACAGATAGATAAGTGGTAGCAAATGTTAATCTGTTTTATTTTGTCAAGTGGAGGTTGTGAATTAAAACAAGACCTTGAGTTTACGAAATAACCTGTATACTGCAAACTCAATTTTCAAAGGAAAACCCTGGGAACTAGGTCGTTCCTGCAACGTCACCAACAAGAAACTCATTAAATCCAATCTCGTCCCAAGAGCCTGCGCGTTTCCGGTCAGCGGTGACGGAACGCTCGACGCTTGGGCGAAATCAAAGAGCGGAAGGTTTGATTTTACGCATGCGTCCAAGTTCAATAACTGTTTCTAAACATGTGCAGAGAGAGAGAGGGCTTTGTGAGTAATGTTGGCTCACCTTCCGATTTCTCCCGAGAACGTCTCCATTTCTTCCCGCCAACTGATTGACTGCTTGTTGTTGTTGTTGTTGTTGTTGTTGTTGTTAATGTTGTTAAATGTCAAGCATTTTGCGTTTTTCCCTTCACAGTATAGACCAGGGTCTTCATAACATTTCATTTTAATAAAAACGATTTGTAGCTTGCTCTTTTGTCTGCATGTAAGCAAAATAAGTAAAAAGAAACCTAGAACTATCATCAGAGTAACATGCATGTCCGGACGCACGAATCGCCGAACTCGGCGACCGTGTCCCTGCGATACAAAATTGATGTTGTGATTCCGACAGGATAATATTTGCTTGTTACCAGCTGCTTTTTGTGTAGGTCAAGTCCATTTAGTTAGCCTTTCCAAGTAGGTCGACAGAACACCTCTTTTAGGGAGGCGGCGTGGCCGAGTGGTTTAAGGCGCTGGATTTGAAATCTGGAGATCCCTGGTTCAAATCCTCCGCCCTACCGCTATCTGGANACCACACCTTTGTTTTTGTTTACACGCGAAAGTTTGGTTATTATATTTTATTCGGAGCATGTCAAAACAAAGGAAATCACTATGAAATTACGAAAGATAATTAAACATACCTTCAGGAGCGCAACTTTTTATAAAGCAATAAGATTTCGCTCCACCATGCAATATCAATAATTTTGATGGCATCGAAAATGTCGGAGAATGACTAGGGTCCTTTAAAACCGTCTTTTCAAATACAGCAGAATCTTTCTTAGAGGCATTGACGGTTGACAGGAGAAATGGGCACATCACCTTCTTTGCCACCTGCAGAGAAGTCTGGGAATTCTAGGTAAAACTCCCAAGTAAAAACGTTACATGGTGTTGTTGTAACAAGTCAGAGATATCCGCGCAGTTCATCTGATTGGCCAAATTACCCTAAACGACCAACATAAGGTCTACACATAAAAATACAGACTAGGCTACTCTGGATGCTACATAACGTTAGCAAGTCTTCATCGGCATGGAATTTTTAAGGCCCAATCTTTGACATCTCCTCTCTGCAGAATCCCGTGCAAAATGTGCAACCGTGCCAGAAAAGTCGCAATGTTCATGAAGGGCTTAGTACGGACCGAAGAAAGCATTTTAAAGGGGTAGAGCTAAAAAATATGGCCAACGAAAAATATTTGTCCGGCAGCAGTTTTGCAAAAGCATTTTGAGTAGATAATTTGGACGATCATGTAAAGACTTCCTTTGTCAAATACGAAGAGGCTAAGTAAATCTCTCATTATTGTTGCTAAGCTGAATTGCAACAACGCCAGCAAAATGCTAGTTGCTCTTTTTTATCTTTATTTCGTAGAGTTTTAACTCTTGAAAGACCCCACATACACGAATCTGCAATAATAGGTACCCAACGGGTACTTGTGACTGCATGCACTGTGCAGTCTAGCGGACACAAAAATAGGGCTCCGTATGCAATTCAGGAGCACACGATCGTTTCCATAATTTCTAAACCAGTGAGAGATGAGCGTGAAATTTGGATCGGCTTTAAGGGACTAAAATTCACGATCAAGTATAATGCAGCTGGAGTGCAAATCTACCACTGCACGCCATGGCTAAAAATAAGCCTTTTTCGTATTATCTTTAGCCTCTTTTACAAAGCGAGTCTTGGTGCCCATCCTTTCAAATGAAAACGAAATTTCATTTACATGCAAATTAAACTCATTTTCATATGAATGGTTGAGCACCAGGCCTCGCTTGGATGATGGGGCTTTAGGCAACTGGGAAATGGCCTATTAGGCAATAGATCAGAATTTTAATAAAGCAATGCCAAATGGACGATAGCCGTAAAAGGTCAAGTCTGCATACGAGCCAAGTGGCCCATCAGGTCGGAGCTTATCCCGGTTTCTGTAGCATGAAGCAACTAGGAGTATTTCTACTCCCCCCTGGATGGGATGCTAGTCCATCGCAGGGTTACCCCCAGCATTAAATTCGCTGGCACCCATTTATACACCTGGGTGGAGACAGACACTGTAGGAGTAAAGTGTCTTGTCCAAGAACACAACGCAATGTCTCCGGATGGGGCTCGAACCCAGACTGCTGGATCCGGAGACGAGCGCACTGACCATGAGGTCACCGCGCCTCCCACAATAAAAAACCAGTTTAAATTTATCTGCGTTTATGTTAAGAGCAAACACATTAGTCTCCGAGAACTTAAACAAGGCAGATCAAATCTCGCAGGTGGTTGCCAAAGCAAAGTAGGAACTGTTATGATTAAGGACTGAAAAATAAACAATATAGATCGCAGATGCTTCTCTTTTAAATATTAATCATTAAAGGAAATAATATATTGTGGATAAAGAGCCACTTAGGTTTTATTTGTGCTAAGTTGATAATCGTGAGTGTTTACCGAGAGTTTAAGATTGAAATGACAAACAATAAACCTAGCTGGGTAAGTTGTACTGTGTTTCTATTTTAGACATACCGTACACACTATATTTTCACCGATATACCAGACAAATAAAGTCGTCCTACAAAGTGTAAAAACGTATACGACAGCAACGAGAGAGATTCGTTTTCAACTGGAGTATCTGTTGAAAACTGATACTCCAGTTGAAAACGTCTCACTAAAACAAACGTGATTGGTGCGGAGTCAGGTTTACAAACACAGCTTGTTTTAAGTTGAAAGCTATCGTTAAAAGCAATTATACTCACTCTTAA